TATTCCCTTTATCTCCCTTTATTTTGCCTAATTGCTTTTGTTTTGAATTGAATTTGATTGTACATTAAGCCATAAACACCACAGCAGTTATGCATGGCAATGACATGTACTGTGGAGGGAAATGCCACTGTCACCACAGATCTGCTGCCTGATCATTTCATTGAGTGTCCCTGAGCTTCTAGCTGGTGAGAAGCAATCCCTCAGACTCTACATTCTGGTGTGTCTTTCAAAAAGAAGCAGCCCGCAGTAGATTTTTGCCTCTCCCTGTTGAATTCATATGGTAACGACCCCACTTTTCCTGCCTCAGTATGCAATGGAAAGTGAAGTAAAAGGAAGGTAGGACTCTGCACCAGTAAAGCTGAAGCATTTCCTTCTCTCTAACCTCCTACAATAAAGAGCACAGAAGATGCACATGGCAGCTGTCTGTTACAGGATCTCAGCAGCAGGTCCCCTAGCCTTGGCTGGGTTCGCATGATACTGCTCACAAATGCTGACAGAAGCTGTCTTGGGAAGGATAACACTGAGCAGGGCTGTGTGGCCAAGGGCAGAGCACTGGCTATCAGCAGCTCACAGGGCTTTCCTCCAAGGGCTGGGTGTCCCTGCTGCATTGCTTCCTCAAAAAACACAAAATGCTTGATTCCTGCAAAATCCAGTTAAAAGCATCTTCACCTGTGCAGGTTAATCAGGAAGCTGAAAGTACTCAACTCATTAGAGACAGAAATGGATAGGCAGAGGTCAAATAAGGAATGAAACATAAAAGTACTATCAAAAATTTGTTTTGATATCCCTGTGGTGTAATTGAACCTCAACATCAAATTTTTTCTACAAGCTTTAGGAGAAATGTGAGATGATGGCATGAGAGGTAAGAGGACAGAAGGTCAAAGAAGGCTAAATTTTTTTTTGTTCTCAGATTAATTTTACAATTCCTCACTTATACACGCTCCCATTGTATCAAATTTGATTGTGTTTCAAGGTGAACCAAGAAAGCATAATAGCTTCAAGATTTGATTTTGCTCCTTAAATAGAAAGCTTAAACGTTGTTATGGAAAATTAATGCTTCTCCTACACTGTAGTTCCTTTATTTTTAATTCTCTTGTAAGTTAAAACCATACTTGTAAATTTTCCCTTCCCCAACAGAACAGAAATTGAATACAATATTTATAGCAGAACATCTTATTTCTACAGAAAGTGTTTCAGCTCATTGAAAACAGCTTAGCAACTGTGTTACAGGCATAAGGAGCAGACGCGTTTCGTCCTAAGCTATTCGTTATCAGCGGAGTCCAGAACTGAACCAACAAGTAATTTAAAAGCAGAAGAACAGAGAGCGAAACCTGTGACTCAAAGATAAATGTTAGTCTAGGTTTATCTGAGAAACAATGAAATGTAGCTAGCGAGGAGCAGCTTTTGAGTCAGCTTTTCTCTCAATGTGGAATTAACACTGGTAATATTTCTGTCCTGCGAGTGACCAAACAACTGCCTCTTGAAAGCATGAGTGTGGCAGTCACGGGTGGCATCCCAGGTCCCTCACACTGAGCATCTTGAGGGCTGGTTTCAGGTTTGTCAGTGACATCAGCCCACCCTTGAGTGGAAGAAAACAGGAGCAGGGCTTGCGTGCAGACACGTAGGAAAGGGTGTATGAATAAGGTGGCAAACACTGGTGCTTTCTCAGGATATTCTTCCAGCTGCTGGCAATGCAGCTCTCAAGAACTCTGTGAGACAAAGATGGTGCATCTGTGCAACATCTGCAGATTTATGCCATGAATTCACCCAGATGCTTTCCAAACACAAACATTCAGCCTGAACAGGACGTGCCAGGTGTCTGAAGAGCTCCATGAGCTGAATGCCCCCCAACATGCTGTGAAAGGCTTCCTCATGCACTATGTTTGGAAGCTGCCCCGTGCCAGTTTCACCTGGTGTTCCCTCAAGAGCCATGGAGTTGGGGAATCCTCGCTCACCCTCACCTGCCTCCCTCTCCTACTGCGGCGACCACCGAGTCTGAAGAGGCAGTGTGAGATAGCTTCGCTCACACCACAGCACGCCCCTGAAAACTAGGAGTTTCTGAGGCTCCGGGGGAGCGAACCCCTCCTGCCTGCGCATCCCACCTGCCTCGGTCCGGGAGCAGCCCTGGAGGGACGGGAGGTGGGAAGTGAAGGCGCTTTGCCTTGGCACCGCAGCGGCCAGCGAGCAAACCCCGGGCAGCTCATCCCAGGGAAAGCGCCGGGGCTGCGGGAAGGGCTCCGGAGCTATTCCAGGAGCTCGGGGGGCCGCGCAGAACCCCAACAAACCTGGGCGGCCTCGGGGCGCCCGGGCTGCCCCGGCCCCGCCGAGCGCCCGCGACCCGCCCGCGACGGGAGCGTGGCGGGACCCCGCTCTCGCCAGGCTGTGTCCGAGGGGCTCCCCAAGCCCCGCCCGGCCCCTCGCAGCCCCCTACCTCCTGCTCGCCCGCCGGGGTGTCCCTCGCAGCCCCCGCCATGGCACCGCGGACATCCCACCCGTGCGACACCTGCGCCCGGGGCGGGGCGGCGGAGCGAGCCGGCGGACGGCGTCCTCGCCGCCCTCTCCCAGCGCCCTGCAGGGGCGAAGGCGCCGGTGCTGCCCGGGACAGGGATCCCCCGCGCCCTCCGTCCCGCCCCGGCACCGCCGCGGGGAGAGGAGCGGGGCAGCTCCTGGCGGTCACAGCTCCAAAGGGTGCAGGGCTCAAGGACGGGGCACGGGGTGGAAGGGGCCGGAGCTGCTCTCATCCAGCCCCAAAACGCCTCCTCTGCCCCCTGAAGAGATGCGCGGTTTCCCGACGGGCAGGGATGTAGAACCGCGCCGGACAGCAACGCTGTCGGCTGGACGGAGATCACACAGCAGCCGCCCCTGTGCCGAGACGCGCTGGGGGACGGCGGCTGCTAATTCTGCCCTTGGGGTGGTTAGAGACTGCCAGGGGCTGCCCAGGGAGGCACCGGTCCTGGAGCTGTTTAAGGAAAGACTGGATGTGGCACTCGGTGCCATGCTCCGGTTGACAAGGTGGTGATCGGTCCTAGGTCGGACGCGATGATCTCAGAGGTCTTTTCCAACCTCACTGATTCTGTGATTCTGCTGCCCCCGAGCCAACACTCTTATCTAGGATACACGAGTTCACCACCACCCTGCCCCTGGGAAAGTGCTCTCGCACGCATGCTCTGCATCAGAAGAAATACAAATTGCATTTTGAAGTATGAACCCTTTCAACAGTGAGGTAGCCTAAGAGAAGAGGGGTTAACGAAGCCAACAGGACTTGTGACCTGCTTGAGATGATGAGTAATCAATCTCTACACCCAGGGCTTTTTGGTGTGACTGATTTGAAGGGCTCTGCTCCTGACAGGGTCACCTGGAGGGTACTGGGCAGGCACTGCAAATCATGCCAGAATAAGGACTAACATTTAAATCATATACAGCCTTGTTTGCAAATTACAGCAAATTTGCAAAATTCTGAAAGAACAAGGCATTAAAGAATTTTCTAAAAACCAGACCTTTAACAGAAAACTGAGATTGTGGCCCTAACAAGCCTTATTGAAAACTCTCTGAAGGAGGTCTCTAGAGGCTGATGCCAGAGGAACTTAAAAACAGAAACAGATTGGCCAGTACCAAGGTAAATACAAGGTATGCATCTAACATTCAAATTCAACATTTAGGTTGTTTTGTGTTTACACACCATCTTCATAACACATTAAACACTTTTCCCTGCATTTGCACATACGTTTCCTTTCATTGCTCTTCTCTCGGCTTTGTATCTTCAAGCACTCAAAAAAGCAAAGTCTTGTTAAGAAACAATTTGTGTGTTTCATGAATTCTAGCACTGATCAAGCCAGTTATGTTGTTGTGTGACCAATGCACAATTGCTGTCTACAGACACTACAGGTAGCTAATCAGTCTTTAAAAACTTGTCCAAAACCAATTAGATTTAGGAAAGTCTTCTATTCTTCCAAAGATTTTCTCCAAATTAGGAAATAAATTATTCAATCATAATTTATTGCCTTTATTTAAAGGCACTTTCTAATCTAGCATGGGATTAACGCAGACAGCATCACTTCAGACTTTTCAAAGATTTTCTCTCATTTTGTAAATGAGATCATGACACTTTCAAACTGCAAATGCACACTTAAGTACACCAAAGCTGCAGTCAGACAGTTGGTTTTAGTAAAGCAGCTAACTGTCCAATCTCTTAAAATGCTGGTAGCAGATATGAATCAATGTTCAAATACAAAATACTTATTATTCCTTCCAATGGATAGCAAGCAAAATTTACCCACTTCAGAATTTTACACTCCCCCCCTCAATTTCAATCTTGCACTATTTATTTCTTCAAATTTTTGTGCTGCAAATGCATGAATAGTAGTACACTGTTAATTTTAACATTTCATGCACCTTTTAGATATAACAACTGAGCTCACAATCAACCACATGTGCTTTTCTAATACTAGGTTTTATATTAAGACAAATTTGGAAGCACTGATTAATTAAATTCCCTTTTCAGGAAGCTCTGCGTATTGAAGGTTGGAGCTGTGTCTGTAGGGTGGTCTGTCTTTTCAATTTTACTAATATATTTGTCTGCACATATATTTTTGTTTTTTTCATATAGGAATCAGTGCAAGAGCAAAGAAAATTTAATTGTACTACTTGCTACATAAACCTGAATGGCACAGTAGTACAGGAAGTTTATAGCACTGGAAAGCATTTAAAGGCATAGTTTCCAGAGATTTGCTTTCCGAGGACACAATAGATATTTGCCCAGTTGACTTTCATTTCAAACACACCATGAGAGATGCTGAAGCAAACCAGTTTTATAACCCTGGGAATGAAGGAGAGTACATCCCTAGACTGAAGTCTCACTACTTTTTAGAATACAAGTTGCTCAAATGAAGTAATTTTCTATTTAAAACAAAACCAGGAAAACCCAAACCCAACTTTTACTTAACCATACAAAAGAAGTACCACCCCAACACCCATCCTTTGGCAGAGGTAGCACAGAGGAGTCAGGACTCGTTGAAGATCCTGGGATATGTATTACCTGGAGATTTTAGTTCCATTCACAAACCCACATGTTTAGTAAACACAGTACAAAATATTAAGTCTTTCTGTTGTTTTCTCTTTTAGCAAAACATGGAATAATTGGCTACAAATGTTATGCCTCAAGTGAACAGCAAAATAAAAGATTTGGATGGAAATGAGGCAAAGTGGAGAGAAAAATGTCAATTTTCAAGTAAGGATTTTCAACATCTTTGAAACTTGACCACATGCAATTACTGTCTCCATCAGCTGGGCAGTTCAGGACAGAGGCAGATAAACAGTACAAAAACAACTGTGTCCCTCCTGCTTGGTAATAGCCAAAAAAGCTGAAGTTTCTGTGTGACAAAGCTACAAGTGGGTCCCTATGCTATTGAGCTAGGTAGTTTAACGTCACCTGATCTGCAAGACACCCGTAGCAGCCCAAAAGAAACAGAAACCACTTCAACCATTGATCAGAACAATTCCTTCAGAGCTTACTTTGAGGCACTTCATATGCAGTATGCACCAAACTATCTCATTTGTATCTTCTCACACATGCACCCACCACCATGTGAAGACTTGACAGAACATTATTACACTGTAGATCTTGTGATAAAAGTTACATCCTGAAGATTTTCAAGGCAGAGTTCAAATGTGAGCTTGCCTGCAGTATTGGTTGTCAAAGAGTTACTGTGAGAAGAATGCAAACTGCAGCAGTTTACACGAGAATGTAAGTGAAATGCTTCACTTTAGTCCAAAGTGCAAAAATAAATACTATTTTTCCTTAAAAGGTGCTATCAGTAGTTAAGTCTCAGAGAACTGTTCCACCTAGACCCACTTATTAAATACTAAGAAGCTTTTTACCTAAGGAAATTCTAAGGATAATATGCTGTACAGTTACCTCTGCTACATTATACAGCCAGGCTTTGAACACTCAATTTAGCTGAAAATACCTCTGTTATAGCAGATGACAGCACAGCACCCATTCTGCTCTCTAAGAGCACAGTGCATGAGGATGTGAGGGCATCCACATATTGCTGGTTACATTTTTGGTTTTGCCTAGTTCACCCTGCAGATAATTTTTGGTCAGTTAAAAGCTAATTTGATCTTGTACTATTGATAGCATTTTTTTGCTCATTCTTGAGTTGTCCATTAGGTGTAGCAGCACTTTTGTAGTCATTATCAGGTGCTTTTATCACTAAGAGTCTGAAAGGTTCAGTTGTTTTCCGAAGTCTCTGAACAACAACGGCATTTTCCAACTTTGCTTCCTCAAGTGTGAGTGTCTCGTCCTGCAGCTCCCGAAAAGGCAGGGAGGTCGTCAGTGTGAAGGGAACACTTCCCTCAGATCCTTGATACTTTGTTATGAAGTCTCTGACGTGGCTGATTCTGAGAAGAGAGTAAGAAAAACTCCGCATTAGAGTTTTGGCACTGCAATCCCCACACACGTGCATAACACAGCCACCATGGGACAGGAATGAAATACCACTGCATGGAGTGCATGATAGCACAGAACTGGAGCAATACAGATGAGGTGGAGTCCTGAAATGCCCGATCCACTTGGGAGGCAAGGACCAAGGTCTGCATGCTCTGAGTAGTCCCAAGGGGACAAGCATGAGTATCTTATTCTGAGCACTCAAATGCACCACTGTGGCTCCGATGTAGTTAGACAAACCTACCATTTCCTAACCAGCTGGTGGAGCTCTTACCTGAGGGTTCTGTAGCCAAAAGCTAGAATAAATGCCTCCAGTGTGTGGTTCGTGTAGCAGAACCACAATAAAAATAAAGAAAAAGGGGTTGCAAAAACTATTTGGACATCCGATACATGGACTAAGTACAGTCCCATCCTCCCAAAGCAGGGGCATGGTGAATTCACTACAGATTCAATCCGCTTGTGAAGAGCCTTGCAACAACTGAGCAAGACAGAAGTTTTGCTGTGGAAGAATCAGGATCGACTAATTTAATTGTCGATCATTTTAATTAAAAGGAAGATGAGAAGATACATCTGTATGAATAAAATTAACATAGTGTCAATGTCCATTCTCTGGTCCTGAGGCCAACTGGCAGACCGGCTGCTGGCAAATTCCTAAATTCATCCTTCCTCCCCGCCACGCACAGGGTCTTCCATGAGATTGACTGTCTCCTGGGAATGGTCCAGGACCTGAGCTAACAGCTGAACCATGGATGGCTAGGTATTGACTGAGGAGTGCTGGCTGGCTTGGGGCAATGCCATCCTAACAGTTTAGCAGCACAGATGCCCAATAGTTTCCATGCCTTAGCCACATTCACCAGGACAGACACAGCCAGCAAAATAAAAACTAATTCCTGTGCATGCAGATCTCAATATAAAGACACTGCTTGGTCTTATAAGTCATGAGCCTGAAAAACCTCAAGCAGGACTAAATTTTTGATTGGACATTTACAGGTGTCTACATGCATTGTATCAAATTTCATTGGGTTCCAAGAGCAACTCAAGAAATTAGCCACAAGCTCTCTGTTTCAGGGTGAACAAGTTCCTTTCCAGGTTCCATAATTTATGCTCCAGGGTCACACAAACATAGTAAGTGCTGAAGAGGGGACACAACTCAATCCAGGACACAGCTCTGTGTGCTATTCCTACAGCTCTGCTCTCCTAGTTGCTGCACTCTCATGTCTCAATTCCCCACAGTGCAACACTACAATGCTTCCTGTGCTTCTGCTCCCATCTTTCACCAGTAATCAACGCATATCTAAGCCAGCAGTTACTGTGGCACCTACACAATCTAACTGCAAAAAGCTAAAAGTCATCAATTTACCCAGACACTGGGTAATATGCTACATATGTGCTAAAGCTAATAATCTATACCTTAGTTAACAAATAACTGACTGTCTTGTGCACTGAAAGGAGTGCTGTGTATGCAATCATCACTCCTAAGGATATGTGCTCTAAAAGGATTTCCCTCTGGTTCTTATAAGGTTATACGCAAGTACTGTGTACACAGCACAAACATGCTGGTCTTGTGGTGAGAGGCTATGTTATGATAGAATATTTATTGCACAGTACTTCAAAAAGTATTACAACAGTAAAGCTGTTTTTCTGCTTATCTAGGATGTTTTTTTCCTCTCAAAAGCACTCAGCAGCTGTTCAAATGGCTATTTAGTATGAAGACAAAAAGCTTCTAAATATACTTAAATGTGTAGGATCTTGAATCACTGAAATATTAAGCCCTTCAATTAAGTATTTATAATTAAAATAGCCATTTACCCTTCAGCAGTACATCACAACAGTGTTTCAGTATGTATCTCAGGCTACTAACAGTAATAAATTAGTACAAGTCAAAGAAAACACTACAGTCATTAACCTTCAACAGCTCAGCTTTCCTTCTGACCAGGCACAGACATGCACAGTTTATCTTGACAGCAGCCTGGGTTGTATTAAACCCGTGATACCTTTAAATTGTTTCACAGAGAAGCACAGGCAACATATCCTTTCCACATGACATGACCGTACAGTACTGCAGTAATTTCTCAAATTTGGATCTGAGAAAGGTCTCTAAAGACAGCAGCTCTACAATTTAATGGTAAGGTGTTAATCTCACTTTCTCAAAACTCCTGCATACATGCACTGTGCTGACACCTTCTGACATTATCCTCATTTTTAAGCCTCTTTGGGAACCATAAATTTTATTAATTAAGAATTAAACACACTGCGTGTATTCTATTCTGTCCATGTTGACAAGCAGGGGATGAACCTCCCTGCCCAGTGCACCAACTCCAGCCCTCCCAAGAGGTTTCTCTGGCTTAACTCTTTTCCCAGCTCTCACATGTGGTGCTGCCTATGCCCAATGACCAGCAGGCTTTTTACTAAGCCATTTGCTCCTGATGTAGTTGTTTCATGAGAGATCCATCATGTTAAAAGCTATTTCTTCTAGTAACAAGCAATATGTACACCTTAACTTTCACTAATCTGCACCAACCTCCTACAATTTCCTCAGATTTTCCTTTACACTCAGTTATGAACTCACTTCTAACAGTTCATATTTCTCTTATGCTCTCTTATCAGCTAAAAGATTTCTCAAGATTTCAGAGGTTTTCCAAATACAACTGAAGAGCAGCCCAATGCTAAGTGAACTGAGGAGATAGATTAGGCATAAAAGTTAAAGACTTAAATATATAAGCATTAAGACTAATAGCTCAGATGCAAATATATATGACAATGGTTAAATAAATCTTACCTGTGAGAAACATTGAATTTCTGAATTATCCTTTCCCCATCAGCTAACCAGATCTGGACATTGGTGATAGGCTCCAAATCATTCAAGGGTACTAAAGGCAGGTGTCTTTTGTCATCAGGTCCTGGATGATCATCCCTCACTTTAGAGATTATCTTTGGAGTAGCACTTGAAAGAAAAGCCACATGAGGTTATGACTTCTGTGTTCACATGAAAACTCAAACTTCCCCCAGACCTCTGCTTCTGAAGACTTCTGCCCCATAGCAGAAGTGCACTGATGACTTTTTATTTTAACAAATACAGAAACACTAACAAAAATATCAGCTTTTTTCTTTCTTCCTTATTTTTTTTTCCTACACATATGCCATTATTTTTCCTTAAAGACTAAAACATGCTAAAGAATTTCAGTTTGCTTGTGTTTAACATTTTTATAAAATGGAAAGGAACTTTAAATGCCAGAGGATTAAATATGAATATACAAGATAAAAAACTGTCTGATGCTTCTTCATGCATTTTTGTACTCTAATCACACAGGTGAGACTTTTAAGGTGGTTGAGTATTGAATTTGCGTACTCAAAATTAATTTTCAGCGTAATGTGATTACAGTAATTCAATTTAACTGAATATTGTTAGCCTTGATTTAGACTTCAGCATCATCCATCTCAGCTTAGAAGAATTACTCATCTATCAGAAAAACTTGACTTAATGTGAAAAATCCAGACTGATGTACACAGCAGTTGGGTTTTGTTTTCCTAAGGCATTTTCAGCAGTTGACAGAACCATAGGGGCAAAGATTCATAAAATGACTTGACAGAATACATGGACCTCAGTCCAAGTGAATGGTCTTAAAATACAAACAATAAAAAAAACTGCTGGCAAATTTTTTTATGCTGAAGAAATGCCTAGAGCTTAGTGCTTCTTTCATGACTAAGCTTGTTCAGCATGCACAGTTTAAGTAAGTCCTCACTGGGCCTGATCCAATGGGCACATTCTCAGCTCCTGTGAGTATAACCAGATGTTTGCTTGTAGAACAATAGCAGAGATTTAAGGAGTTACCATTTCTCTTCTGAGCTCAGCTGTGGTCACAGACTACATGAACACTACATGGCAGTTTGCAGAAAAGCTCTTTGCACAGAAAATTGGCGAGTTACAGTTTCTTGAGAGAGAAGTGGGTAACTGATAGCCACAGAGTAACAGTCTTAACTATACTGCACACCTGCTCTGCAGTCAAAACTCATTTTTATGTTCTTGTACCTGTATTAGTTTATTCATAAGGCAAAAAAGTCACAGCTAATTTATTATTAGCTAATGACTTAATATGTTCAGGCTAATAATGCTGGAGTCACATTCGCAAGTTTAGTCAGAGGTATTTCAGAAACTTTTACTGCCCATTTAAGTGCTGCCCTAACTTCTAGGGTATCAGCCAGCAGAGGCACTTTTTTGTATCTTCCACAGAAACTCAGCATTAAGAGATGTACCCTGTGACTGGAGACAGATAAGAGGTACAGAACTGTTTTGCATTGCACAGAAATCAGCTGGGGCACAAGGACTTGGCACCAACAAATTACAAGAGTCACATCTGTAAAATATTCTGGTATTACTAGTACAAGTGGTGTACTAGCACCCACCTGCCTCACTAGCACAAACAACTTCTGTTCATACTTGACCTCAATACAAAATAAAACTTAATTGCGCTCCAGGTCAGGAATAAAAGCTTGAGTACCAGGAGGATAATGTTAAATAGTTTTGCAAGCAGAGAAAAAAAAATTAAATTTCAAGTCATACTTCAGTCCAGCAATGCCCAGCTCTTACTGTCTCCCTGTTTAGTTGCTGGTTCAGATACTGCTGATTCAGAACTCACTCGGGCTACCTCCAGGACAGCAGAGGCTGCAGAAGTGCTCAACCGTAGTGTCTGGCTCAGGCTGGGCTACATCAGTCACAGCTGTAGCTCAGACAACTGCCTTGCATGAACACAGATTTTGGTGTCATTCCCAAATCAGCTTCTCTCATAGTCACATCTCCATATGTAGCAGGCACTGGAGGTGATTCTTTCGATAGCAAGTGTGTGTGAGACTGAAGCCAGCACATTAAGTGAAGCTCTAAGAGAAAGTCAGAACATCCATATCACCAAGATTTAAAGCCCTTCTATATGTAAAAAACTTTTCTCTTGCAGAACTGACAGATAAAGCCATCTAGTGGTGGGAGCTTTGACTAAAGCCAAAACCCAAGAGTCTAAGTCTTATTAGCCTGAGATTGAAGCATTGTTACTCCTTTTAAGCCTTATTCCTTTTATAAAATTATCAACAGAAGATGTAAACTAGAGATCGAACAGATGTAAGAGCACCCTGCCAGTTTTCTGGCAAGAAAAGGCCCAGCAGTCAGGTATCATGCCTTACCCTGACTGATAGTTAGGCAGCTTGACACACAATGCTTTAGCCTAATGAGGTTACAGAGCAAGCTCGCTTTGCTACAAGTCAATAGTTTAATTAACATGTTTCTGAGGCTGTCTCAAAGATGCATAGATTAGCTCAATAGAAAAGTGGGGATGCAAATCTAATCAATTTCAAACTATGAAAGTCAGCTGGACAGTGATAGATAAAGTATACTTATTAGTTACACAGGTTCATAAGCTACATTGGAAAATTTTGATACATCTTATTTCTCCTATAGAACAAAAAGGCAGAGGATCAAGTTTATCTGAGCTGTATCAACGTGTATGTTATTTCTAGAGCCTCCAACAAAAGTTTTGAGAACTAGTCAATAGACCAATTCTTAATGGTTCATCCATTACAAAATCCCTTCACCTGGGAACACTGACAAAATATACAGCATTAATTTTATAAGTTTATTTGTTAAGCAGATGCTTAGCTAGGCTATAAGCTAAAGTAAACTCTTCAGTCATTTGTCTCTCACATTTCTGACTAATCATACAAATGCAACTGTAGAAAAGGAGTTCCATAGCTTAAAACTTGTTCCAGGTCTCAGCCAGCTCTGTTGCTGCCCCACAAAGCTTTTCTGCTGCAAGTGTGGTGTATTCATGCAATGGACATTTATAATGCAGAAAGTGATCACTACTTGATGGAGTAGGAACACGTATGGCTCATGTTTCCAACATCAGCACTAATATTTACTTGTTTTTAAGGAAAAGGCTTTGACAACACAGCACAGAATAGACAAGCAAGAGTAGGAAAGAAATAAAAAATGCTGAGCAAGTTGTAGAATGTCTCAGTGTACAAGACCAGTCAACTGAAATTCACAGATTAGCATGTTTCTGAAACCTAACTTGCCTACTGGGAAGCAAGATCATTACTTGCTGTAGGCATGGCAGAGCACAAGTGACTGAAAAACCTAGCAATTAGCACTGGTTAGCAGCAGAAAGTCAGCACACTGAAGATCTTTTTGTTTTGTTATAAACAGCTCTACTTGTAGATAAAATAAGGTTAAGTTCTTGACCCCCACTTGCTCAGGATTTCCATGCCATCAAAAGCAAGTCTTGCAGCAACTCACCTATCTCTCAAGGGAAGGTTTTCCCCATTGCACCTACTCAAGCATGGAGCAACTGAATGGACTGTACTACAGAAACAGATGAAACTCATAAAACAGATAATTGTTTCTCTGAGTCAGCCTGGAACCACTCACCCTTTATCTTTATCAATCTTTTGCTCTGCACATTATCTTATTCCCCTGCCTCAGCTGCTCCTGCCCAGGTCAGGCTTTCCCTCAGCACAAGCTCTGGGCCTTTGCAGCCAAACCCTTCCTACTTAATTGAAACAAGCTGTTCATCTAAGGCTGCACCTCAGCTTAGAAACCCCAGGCTGCAGGTCACTCAGCAATGCCACCCGGTCACTGAACATGTCCTGGTCTCTAGGCTGAAGCCTGCATTTATAGGTACACAAGTCTTGCATGACAGGGATATGTCAAACAGATAATGTGGCTGGAGTAAGCAAAAGTCACAGGGATCAAATAAATGAACTCATGACGTGTCGCCCTAAAACAGCCTTCCAAAATACAATAGTTGTTTGGTTGTAAATCAAGTTCAGTTTTAGCATTGGCATGAGTGGCTGACACGCTCCAACTACAAAAAAGACATGGATCACTGCAGAATGCTAAAATGCCTTACTGCAATACATAATTACTGAACAATTTTAAGAGAATGCAGAATAATCTCTTACCTCTTTAGTTCTCTTTATGGGATTGTCATACTCCCCCCGCCAACCCTTCTCAAACTATTATTAATATAGCTTAAAAAGAGCTTCTTTTCTCTAAAATCACAGAATGGAAGAGTGACAGCATTCCAGCTGGAAACAATTCTGCTAATATTGAGACCTTGAACAAAGAAAGCCAAAAGCTTCCTGCCTGTATCAACACAGCAACACATCCAATGGATTGTGGGAGCCAATTATCCCCCAGGTTTCATGGAGAGACACCAAGATGCCTGCAGGATGGAGCACTCATACTGTCAGCAGATGCTAGAGGAGAGCAGCTTGTTCAGCCTGTGGCAGAGATAGTGGTGGTTGTGGGGCATCTAAAAGCAGCCTTCCAGGATCTGCAGGAGGGGGTGATGCTCATTATGGTGGAAATTCCAATGAGAGGCATTCAGATTGGATATACAGAAAAAAATCCTTCCCATAAGAACAGTCCAGCACTCAAGAAGGCTGCACAGCCACTGCTCTTATGGGATTTCATGACCAAATTGGATAAAACCCTGAGTAACCTCATCTGTTCCCACAGATGACCCCACTTTGAGCAGGAGCTTAGATTAGAAAACTCGAGAAACCACTTGCCACCTGAATTTTGGTCCTTCACCATAGGTATAGTTCCCTTCAGCTACTAATAGATCACATCAGCCTACTCACCTTCCTAATCTGTAACCATGTCCAGAAAAGGGATGAAACACTGGCTTTTTCGATGACAGATACACCTTATCCTTTTTATCTTCCACTTTCACTTCTACCTCCTCCTTATCAAAAACCTTTTGCAGCTCAAAAGGCAATTCCCTTAAGAAAAAAAAAAAAACAAAAGGTCAAAAAAAAATACTATCCTGTTTTCAGTATACAAAATAGACCAATGATTTGGCATTTCAAGGATGCTGCTTTTAAAAAATAATTTCACAAGTATTTACTGAGAGTTAGGTTAAGTGCATAGCATACAAATAACTTCCTGAATAACAAATAACAAGTTCCTGAACAGCAAATTAACTAGAAAATATATAATTAAAAAAAACCCTATGATGCAAGTTGTTGAATGATGTTCAAATTTACTCAGCAGTTACCACTCTAAACACATAATGTGTAGGAAGTTCAGTGTTGCCATACACTGCTGCAAAAGGTTTAATTATTTTATCTCCATGGGGAAAAAAAAAAAAGGCTTTTAAAGAGGAAGAACTGAGTTTAGACACAATGTATTTAATGACAAACACAGATCTCAGCTTCTAAAAATTATATAATCACTAACAGCTCCACTCTTTAGTGCAGTAACATCACCCTGGTAATGCTTTAATTGCATGAAGCAAAATACAACAATGTCTTTGTCTCTGAGCTCTGAGGCAGACAGTACAATTTTGGGTGGTGGGGCTCAGCTGGCACAGGGGCTGTACTAAATGCTTCTCCACCATCAATGATTATGCAGAAACCATCTCATAATTAGCATCTTCACAGGCAAACAGTGGAATAAAAGTGGCAAACTTTTGATGAATGCACACAGAGCTTTAAACAGTGCAGTTAATTGCTCTTACAACTAACACAGGTGACAGACATACAAGAGAAATAGTGTAAAGTTAGTATTTTTGGTGGCCTAGCAAAATATGGAAAAGAAGAACATAATGACATAGTAATTTCACATGCTTGATAAGGAGGTATTAAATTACATTATCCATAAAATTATATTCTCCTCTCGATTTGTATGGGGTGAAGAAACAGACTACAAATTAAAGGCTCAAAATAACACTGGTTAGTATGGTCAAACTCCTTTTTAAAGCAACAACTGCAAACAGTAGAAGAAATCAGGACAGCATGTAAACTTTTAACACAGGGAAACATGAAAGATGGCTATTAACACAGGAATTTATGTAAGATTGTTACATATACACAACAGCAAGTTTGCACTTGGAAAAATGTCAGAAATTTAAGACTGATCAGAGTTGCTTGATGCTACATAGAACATCTGTGCCCATTTAAGGCTTTTCATCAACAAAAAGAAAACAAAGACCATAAAACCAGAAATGGTCAACCTCTTGTGCACCGAGTTCATTAGTCAAAATACCATTTGATCTGTAGCTCTTATTGGGCACTGATTTATTCTTTATTTCACTGTGCACCTGCTGTGCCCCCTGCCAACGCTGGCTTTTATCTATTCATCAGGAACTGTACAACTACTGCCACTGAGAGCTGTGTTAAACCTGTTGATGTTCCAACAGCCATTAGCACTGCAGGAACGAGACTGGCAGGGCCTGTGCTCCTACAGGGACACTGCAGTGCAGCAAAGCCACGTAAAAAATTTAGAGCATAAGCTAAGTGCTACCCAAAGCACATTAACTCAGGCTGGTTAAGAACTCGCTTACCCCTTTTTAATGGACTCCAAGAACTGCTGGTTTGCAACATCAGCATAGCCCCGAAGTTCACCGTCATTTACCGTAAACCCATTTTTCCAAAGTTTAATGATTACATCAACCTACAGAGTAAAAACAGTTCTCATTATAACACTGATGAAAAAGAAGCTTGGTATACCCACATACCCTGTGATTATAAATCATCCACTTCATAGGCTAAAAATACTGAGAGCAGGCTCACTGTAATCTGCCTTGGCCCCATGCCAACAGGCACAGCAACTGCAAGAGGTAAGTGACATTTCTAAGTATCTTGTGTCAATCAGGGTTATAAACAAACCTTCCCCCAATCATTTAGGCTTCCTAAATCAAGAACACTCCTTCAATTCAGCAGAGGGAAAAAAAAAAAAAAGAGCTGGACTATCCCAGCCAGCTGCAACTCTTCAAGAGCTAATTTGAGAGCATACATGCCTGGTGTTGGAACACCAAGTGCCAGAATAGTCCAGCTGGGGATTTATTAGGGTAAAGCCTTGTTCCAATCATTCAGGAGGATTTTCTCAAAGTAAAGGCATTTAGATGATGCATGCAGAAGCCTTTCACTCAGGAAATTAAGCAAGTATCAGAAAATTTACTTTCAGACAGTCATACACTTATGTTACCCTGGAACTCCTGGACGTATTCAAAACCTTGGTGGTTAGGGGAATGCAAAAACAAATTCTCAGTAATTCCTTAACGTTGCCAAAAATCATCTACTACTCCAACTTATAGCCATTGCAATATTTACTGAAATCTCTCCAACTGTAAGATGGATATTTGAGATTGCATTTTCATATTAATGCACCATGCCATTCAAGAAAGCATTTGGTTATCAAGGTCTGATCCCTGCAATAACACCGTCTTGACAGATACTTGGCCACAGATGAGGCCACAAATGCAGAATTCACCTCAGCTGAAAATTAGTTTGAATGAGGCTTGATAGTACCTGACAAGTTTGGGCTTGGTTTTTTTTCAGTTTTACTTGTTAAGTGATTGCTACATAAATAAACAGCAAGTGCAAACTGCTGAATAGAATTCCTTGTCTCTCCATTGGGTGATCTGTCAAAAGAAGTAAACAGCACTGAGCAAGATTAGATTCCATCAAAAACTCTTGTGCCTCATGACACCAATGCATATGGAAAGAGTTCTAATTTTGGGAAGGCTCCCCTACAGTGAGCCAGAATGCAAATTTAATATGGACTAATTATTCCACACCAACTTCGCATTTAAGCATTGACATAACTAATGCCATGGAACACTATTTCAGGACTGCAATTTAAGATATTGCTCTTGACATTTCATTTCTTCCAGGGTCAATTAAGGATCTATGAACATAATTTCTAGCAATGCCCACTCCAAATTTCTTCTTGTCATCTTTGTTCTACATGGCCTTTTCTCCCTCCCCTTACCAGTCATTGATGAGTAACAGAAAAACACGAAAAGGACAAAATCACTGAGATACAAACCCACACTGAACATCCCACTACAACCATAATTATATGAATAAGACCAAATGAAAAATATTTGGGCTATGCCTCTGCATAAAAAGGCTGCAGCTCCTTAAATAACTTCTTATGTAACAGTACTTGTCATTCCTTGAACTCCTGCTCACCTCACTCTCCTTCCTAATAAAGCAGAAGCACATTAGCCAATGCCAGCATCAGTTCTAGAATGACTCTAAACCGACCATAGAGCAGTGAGAGCCAAAAGTCCAGCAGTAAAGGCCTGGCTGACTGGGAGATGGGAGGCTGTTCCTATACCTTTCTGAATTCTGTGTGCATTTTTTTACTGATGCACTGGAAAAGACTGCTGGACTTCTGGTATCTGTTTTCCAGAATAGTCCTGGAGTGCTGTTACAACAAACATGACTATTTTTTTCTTCACTACCTACCTGGTTCTTGACTGTAGTTGGGGGCACACACATAGCAGCAACCTTCTGAGCTTCTTCAAAAAGGTTATCTACAAAGTAGTCACAGTTTTGTTCTGTACCATTCAAAATCTGATCATCAGTTCCTGATTTACACACCCTGCAAAAAAAAGATAGAAGCAAAAATGACTCCTCAGAGGACATATTAGACGACAAGTAGATACCTCAAAATCTCAGTACCAATAAGTATAGAAGGCACACTCCCCTGCACCCAGCTTACTCAGTTTACTGAGTACAAAGCATCAGGTCAACTTGACATTGTGCCTTTTCTATAAACTTCTTACCAGTCTCTAACTGCTACAGTTTGCACTTCAAAAGCACAAGCTAAAGAACCATCATGAGAAAAGATGAACTAATCTATGCAAAGCTTCTAAACTTGGTATCAGAGCCAGGAATGCAAGTTAAATTATTCATACTTCTAGCCATCATACACCTAGCTGCACATCAATGAAAGGCTTTCCTTAAAGCAGTTCTGTGATACAAGCTTGGGTTCCTTTGCTGTAAGTTTTAAAAAAAACAAGAAAATTGCCCTAAGATTTACTCATCAACCCCAACTTGAATCTCTCCATTCCTAGCACCATCCCAGAACCACCATTATCATTTTGAAAAGTGCATTAGGGAAACTCAAGTAACTCAACACCACTGGAGCACACTGAAGAAATACAATGGAAGCCTTCAACACTGTGGAGACTACCAGGGTATTAAAAAAGATGCATCAACCACATCTTTTTATAGAACACTGTATATGTGACAGCTGTTTGTTAGATTTTCACCAATCAAAATGCAGAAATATGCAACCTGAATGATTATCTCAGTATAGGTTCTTTGCATAGGAAGAAGATTATGCAGCTTTTTGTAAACATTGCAGGAGTTATTCCTACGGGAGATTCAGAAAAGTCTATTTTAAGCAATTCAGAAAATAAAAATCCCAGTTCTTCAAAAGTTACCCAATTTTACCTAAAACCCTGTGTTGAATTCAAGAGCAGCAATACCTACTGGAATGCTAATTAGATATATTTGCATAAAATTGAATTGTTTGCAGTGCACCTGTGCAACACTAAGAATCCCTGGAGATTAACATCTTAAACAAAAGAAAACCTCAATAACTTTAAAGAACAAATTTCAAAAGTATTCTGTCTGCATTTTAGTTTTCTAATAGAACAAAAGAAACTTGAAGCATTAATGTAGGTATTCATTATGCTTTACCTCAGAAACAGAACTGGAAAGCAAACACCTCCACATCAGATGCAGAGCTGCACAGTGAGTTAGCAATTTGAAAGGCTGCCTTGTTATTTTAAATTAAAATATTTACACAGCTTCTTGCATCTAGGAAACACTTCAAGTATATTAAAAATCTTTCAGCAAAACAACAGGATTTTTTTTTAACTTTCATTATATGTAGAACAGATGAATACAGTAAAAGTACTGTATTTTAGAATTTAACATGAAGTTGAAAAGTAATGATAGGACACACAAACAGCAGTGGGAAAGGAAGACAAAAATGGGGAGAACTAGCACCTACCATTCTTTCTTTACAGTTTTGATATTGTCCATGTCTTTCATTCTGGTGCTTCCCCTAATTACAAAAAGAAAATGGTTTAAAACCAAAACAAACAAAATGCTTATCACACTTTGCCTCTTTTTGTAGCTGAAGCACTCTTTATATTTTTTCCTGTGTTGATAATACATTTAACCAGAAACCTCAAACTTGCACCCCACCAAGTCTCCAGATGGTTCTTTGTTTTCCTGCAGTTTCTAATTTAATGACACATGAACCACACATCTGTTCCAGACATTCAGGAACAAGGTTACTTTTTCATAAATGTACAAAATAAATTTCACAATAATAAAACAGTGTGATGTGAAAATACATGCCCATACCTCTGTGAAGGGAGGAAGAAAAATCACATTCCCGAGTAGCATGGCTTAAACTTCCCTGATTTTACAGTATTATGAGATGGTTGCAGAAAAACTGCACTGCCACTGCAGGCATTTGAGTGACCTCCACCTTAACTGTACATTACTTAAAAGGGGCAAGATTTGTCAGGCTAGCATTCCTACCTTACCTCAAGACATTGTTGCAGTGGAACTCAGAAACTCTGAATTATCATTTCTGGCCTACTGTCAGCTGGCATGAAAATCCTGGATTTGTAAGTACTAAATATGATACAGGATTAGTCTACTGAGTCAAAAGAAATGAAGAATCCCACACTGATCTCATTACAGTCACTTTTGAATGCTCTGAAGAAAGTCACAGAAAGTCGCAAAAAAGCCAGAAACTCTCAAAAACACCCTTAAAAAATAAAATCACTCTAAAATTGGAAAAACCCACAGGAAACCAGAAATTTTTGGTTGCAACTGTACTCAGAGAGTTATCCCTGACAACCAATGGTTACACAGATGATGGTCTGCTCCTTGCAGGTTCAGGACTAAGTTATGACATTGTGTAGTGGCATCAAACTAAGCAGTGACAGCCATCACACTCCTGAACAAAGCAGTATGCACAACACCACTAATATGAATTTTACATGATTTTTAGATCTAATTTATCAAGATGTGGAGTTTAGGGGAAAACAACATCCACTGCAGCACAAAAAAAAAAAAAAAAAAAAAACCTCAAAAAACCAAAAACAAACCCACCACATGCAGTACTAATTCATGCTTCTTGGTACTTGAACACTAGTATTCTTTCAACTTGAAAGTTAAAATCCATGTGGGATACATGCTGTAGAAAAACAAGTCTCCAAAAAACCCCTACAACAGTCAACCTTACATTTAACTGGTGCTGTTACGCATTAAGTCAAAACATATTTTGCACACCTCTGACATGTCACACAAGATGAGGTATAGTCTTTTTTCCCCACAAATGTTCTGCCAGAGCCCCACATCTATCAGGCAAGCCTGTGCTGGTACATGATGATGTTATATGCATATCTGTTTGTTGCTCTTAAACTCTGTATTGCATATGGGAAAAAAAGAACTCTCAGTATCAAGTGAGCAGAGTGAAACTGGAATGCTTAAAAAGTGTAATTTTTTTCAAAATTCTCTCAAATTCAGTTTTAACACTCTGACATGTAGGGGTTTTTTTTGTGTTTAGCCCAAAGTAATTCTTTGTGGTTTCTGTTAATGTGCTTATCTTCTAATCTTTCACTCCAGTATGCTACTCCCCAAAGCAACAAGAGCCACCTCCTGCCATCTGCTTTTGTTGATCCTCTGTGACTTGTCATCAGAGCTGTTAAAAAGAAACAGACACAATGAAGCAGCTCTTCAAATTAGCTCTTTGGCTACATTAGGCTGGCCTCAAATGTGTATGAATAGTATTCAAAACTGGTCAGCTGTGAAAGCTGCTGTTCCTTCTAAAGTACAACAGCAATTACACTTAGAAGAAATGTTTGTGTTAATCTCTCTCTACGTGAAGAATCATCCTGTACAGCATACTGATGTTTATTAAGGCCAAAAGCTGTTAGAACATAGCCATCAGAACGCACTGCAAGCACTTTAGCTCAGCATGTCAACCCAGCCAGCACAAACCACCTCCTCCCACCAACTTCTGACAGACATCCCTAGCTGCTGTTTAAAATGTTAAGAATTTTGGTACGTAATTTTTGCGTCAGTGGCAAAAAGCACCTCAGAACTGAACTACCACCTCCAGAACCTAAATTTAAAACATGGGAAGAAGCTGCAAATGCCAGCAGCCCACCACAGCTACATCTATTAATTTGGGTTAGGATACTCGTGGCCATTACCACACAGCCCCAGGGGTTTCCAGCCTCATCAAGATGGGCCACTGACCCAGCATGGCCTTTCACAGCCAGGGGTTCCAAACAGGCAGCCCTCAATAGGCATATTTTTTTCTAGCAAATAATTTTATGGTCAATACTTTTGAGCTCACACTTCCAGTTATTTTAACACAAGAGAAGCAAAATAGAAACTATCTGTGAGGTTTTCCTTGCTGTGAAAGGCAGACATGCAGTCCCCTCCCTTAAAGCCTGCTAACCCTTTACTAACTTTGGCAGAACAAACTCTCCAGTTGAGAGCTGCTCACAGCACAGCACAGAAATTACAGCTGAAAATTGCACTGTACTGTGCCACAGAGAGATGGGAGGCTACAGAGAAATGGCAAGTACAAATTAATAGCAAGATGAGCATCAAACCTAATGGCCTGAACGTGACTGATGTGCTCAGGTACAAACCACAGCATTCATGCTTCCTCTCCAGCTGGCTAAAGGAGCTGTGCACTCAGAAAGAAACCTGTCCACAACCTTGATGTCCAGGTGTTAGAAAGATAAATTACTTGGCTGTAGAATTGTCTTATTAAGGTTTAGGATTTGACGTGCTTCAATGATCACAGACCTAAAGGGAAGGAGGCTAAACAAAGCTCGGGAAGATGGATATACCACTGATGGTGGACACAAAGAACGCACAATTTACAGGCCACAAGGACATTGGGCAGAACTTCCAGAACGATAAGGACAAAACTAATAAAGCCAGCTCAGCAACTGTGCTGAAATCACTTCTAAGTAAGTAAATGGTAATTTCGGGAGGGCAAATCATGACAAGCAACTTTTAGATCACCAACTCAAGAAAACCATCTACCTAAAAGAAGACCAAGCACGCAGACTACTTAACATGAGAAGGAAACAATTTAACCAATAAAGTCAGAATACTCACTAATAAGAGAGCTATGCAAACTTGTAGCCAGTGAGCATTAAAGTCTATGTTTGCTAACATGTATAAAGAGTGAGAAGTTTTGACAGCCGTGCTGGCTTTGTGGATTTACCACGCAGCCCTTCTTTCGGCTCAGAACCGCAAATGAATCAAGTACCTTGGCTCTGTGTGTGGATAAGCCTCATGCACAGCAAGTCAAAGAACCTATTTCGGGACAACCCCGCGGCTGCGACACCTGAGCTCACCCGCACCCCGAGAGCCAGGCCGGGCACACGCTCCGCGCCTCCCGCCGCTGCCCAGCCCGCCCGCCAGGAGGTATTTTTAGACGATGAGGCAATACCCCGGTACCGACGCGGAGGCAGATCGCCAGGGAGCCCCGGGAAGGGCCAGGCCGGGCCCCCCGAGGGTCGCTCCTGCTGAAGAACGCGGCCGATTCGGAGCAGGGCGGAGGCAGCGGGGAGGCTCAGCCCGCCCGCCCGCAGGAGCCGAGGGAGCACCGGCTCCGCGAAACGCGCCGCCTGCCCAGCCTGTGCCCGCAGCGAACTCACCGCCCGTCCCGCAGCGCCCAGCCCGGGACCGCCCGCCGCGGAACTCCTCGGTGTCCCGCCTTGAGCGGCGCAGGCGCGGCGGCGCCGGGCGGGGCGGGCAGAGCTCCGCCCCGGCGCTGCGGGGGAGCCGAGGGGTCTCCGTAAGGATCCCTGCCGCTGTGCCGGGGGAAGTGCGGCTTCCCCGGGGATTGCCCTGTCCTCTCCTCCGGGAAGAGGCGAGGGCTGGGGTGTTTGCGGCTCGCCGCGACCCGCCTTTACGAGCCGGAACCCCCGCGTCGCTGCGGCGGTGTCTGGGCAGGAGCTGGCGCAACGCAGCAGAGATAAACATCCCTGTCCGGCCTGAGACTGCGAAGTCTCAGGAACTGAGTCCCGGCTGCGGAACAAAGGCCGCGGTCTGAGCGTCCGTCTGTCAAGCCGCGGCACCTACAACAGCAGGGAATGGTGCCCGTGTTTGGCCCCGGTGGAGCAGCGCACGCTGAGCCCTTTGGCGAGCGGGAGCGGCTCATGGTGCGGCGGGCGCCAGTTACGGGCCAGCGCTGACACCGTCACAAGGAGCTCAGCCGCGGCCTCGCACCGAGGACAAAAGAGCGGCGCGCTGTCTGGGAAGCAAACGGGAAAATGGGATGGGATCCTCGGGGAGGGAAGGACTGAGCCGAGTTCTCTGCGCTCTGTTGAGCCTTGGAGAAGCCGCTCTCTGCGGGACGAGGAGGTCCCGTGGTGGTGCCAGGAGCTATGCAAGCATCCAAGGCCAATACCGCGGGGAAGCTGCCAGCCCCTAGAAACACCCACCGAGCACAGTGAACGCACCCCTTGCACCTGCGGGCTGTTTAACAAGGGTTGGGTCTCCCCCCCCCACCCATCAATAATTAGCGATGCACTGTAAAACATTAAGAATTAACCTAAAGTGAACAGCCACAACTATCTAATTCACACTAATTAATGGGAAATCCACTGTGAATTTACAAGTGCGATCAAATGTAATTCTAAAAGCAGAGGTAAAACTTCATTGAGTGTCGTCTTCACGTGGGACACGTTTCTGCAATCCCTTAATCACAACAATTAAAATCACATTGTTCGGAAATATTAAAATAAGATGCTTAGTCTCAAAGTTCAGTGATGGGTGAGTAACAGAAGTAAAATCTGACACTTGACAGCTATAATTTATTTCTCTTTATAATGCACGTCACAATGCACTGATCCTTTTGAAGGCAGTTTGGATTGTTACATTTTAACTGCATGAGATCTAATTAGAGCTCCTGCTTATGAATCTTCAGGGAAGGTAGAAATTTGTCTTTTGTTTCCGTTAAAATACATGGAGTCTTATATTTCAAAACACGGACTGCAGAGATTCTATTCTCCCTGGTTTTGTTTAATGTTTAAAATAGTTTGACATTTTAGAAGATACTTCTTTGTTACAAGGGTTACTGATTCCATTAAACTGGTTTTAGAAATTTAGAACTTAAACCACAGATACCATGACTGTAGAAAAGTCAAGGAATTTACAAAACCCTAAGCTAAAACATCAGAAAGTTGTTTTGCAGTGCTGGACTGTTTTAAATTTTCTCTCACTATTTGAAGTGCACTATCTCCATTTCATTAAACACACAAGTTCATTAATATGCTTAACCCTTTCCTGGGGGCCATTTCAGCAACAATTTGACAGACCCAAAGGTAAGCATAGAAGGAGGTGAGGTGTCATTGATTTAGATTAGGTCTATTACTGGAAATCAGAGTACAGCTGGAGACATGCTGACCTACTACAGTAAGACTCAATGTCCTAGTGAATTTGGTTTCTTAAAAGCTCTTCTAAGTAGTGCTGTCCTCCCTTAGGAGTCAAACTGTTGACAAAGCACAGGAGTAACAAAAATCTTAAGAAAGAACTGCAATTCTTATATAATGTAAAAAATATTTTCTTTAAAGCTGGAAATTTTCAAGTTAGAATGTTGTTACAATCAAGACATCACTAAAATCCTTTTATACTCTGTGCATTTAATACAGCTGATTCTCTGGCAGTACACTAGATGAACAGAAGCAAATGGTCCTTTTCTTACCGTGTGGTGAATAGAAGCAAACAGCCCAGACTGTGTCTGCTGAAAAACCTCTAGCAGGGTATTCATGAGATGAATACAACCATCTCCTGCCCCTTTGTCAGGAGAGATCAGATGCAGTGGCGTGGAAGATAGTGACAACCCCCAGACTTGTTTTATAATGTAGGAGTGAATCTCAGTGTTGAAAAAGTAAAGCAGGGTTTCAGCTGTCACCGACAGACCTGTCAAGGTCACAGAAGAACCAGCACACACAGGGCATCTAAAAACAAACAGAAAATTAATTTTGAAGGGATATTTTTAAACCTTATATTTAACAAGGTTAGCCTATGCCAGAGGATACTGTCAGCTACCTATAATTAAACATCAGCCGTATTGATTGACCTTAACTTGAGAGACAAGCTGTTGCCTGAAGCCTTTTCGAAGTGTGTGCACACAGAGTAGGAACACACTGTGAGGAACTGGGACTGCAAAATAAATAGGAGAACAGGGTCTGGTTATCCTGCAAATGGCAATTCCACTGACTAAAAGACAGCACATTCCTCTGCATAGGATGAATGGTCCTTGAAGGAATGTTAAACCTTCTAGGCTGCCACACAGAGGGGAGTAGCTTAAGGAACCAATGTTTCTAGGAAGTCAGCTATGCACTGGAAAAGCAAGTCAATGTTTTGTGAGTGAATCAGCATTAATGACAATCGTGCATTGAAAGAAGTATCCACACATTGCTGGACTCTTGGACTGTAAGTACACAAGAAAATTGAATATACCTTCAATTTTAAAATAAGTGTGAAATGCATAAGCCCATGAAAAATTCAAGGCAGACCAAGCAACTGTTTGTACCAGATAACACACATTTGGAAATAATGTATTGTGAATTCTCAAAGACACTTTTAAGTGAAACTACAATGATGACATGGTAGTGTATTTTATGAGCTTGTTCTTGGACCTGTAACAAAAAAACCCCACACTTCGAAACCTAAGATTGCGTGTGAGCACTAGAGAGATTTATGAACCAATAATGTTTTTGATGGACTTGCCATGTGATCCTAATCAAGCCATTATACATTTGTCTGGTGCTGAAGCTTATCTACACACGTGTTCATAAATGCTTATTTTTATTGTGAGCATTTTAGGACAGAGTCTGGTTTTTACTACAAAGCTATACATCACCCAGCATAGTAACAGGCTGGTGGTGCTACTTTCATATGATTAATGATCATAAGCATCAAAGTGAGATGATTTGCCACTTTTGTCCAAGATGGAAGTAATTTACAGCCTGAATGATAGTGAAAAACAGACCCTGCAGATGCCTGGCTACAATACCATCAGCCTATGAGTTTCACACAATTATTATTATTAGAAAAACTATCTGCTGTGACCTTAGCTCAACAGGAAAAACATTATGGAAGCTAGTGGCCAGATGTGATGGCAAGATGATTTTGAAATATTACGAGGGAAGTTTTACCACTCCTTTTTAATGTTATCTGAGAAACCTACTCTCTGATTCCTCTTCAAGTTGCACTGATATTATCTAGTGTGGAAAACAGTCTTCAGATAGGTGCACTGATAATGGCACTGGACATTGAGTGTTTAATTTGAAATCATAACTATTACCCACTCTTAAATGACAATGGTAGTCTTCAAATAATGAGCCTTCTATAATAACATAGCAAACTGCCTGCAATGTGGAGTGATTGCACCATGTTCTCTGTTCCAGTTCAAGGTAGTACCAATCCTGATTCCTGGACACTGCTTATTTGAAGTTTCCAAACTGGTATCCCATGGGCCTATCTTCATAATGGACAGTTCTCAAAGGAGTAACCACACAATCTTAATTTCCTAACATGCCCCTCAGGAAAAAGCTTAGGATGCGTGTACAAAAGCAAGATCTCTTGTGAATCTTTTTTTATTTCAAGATTCAACTGAAACCAGGAGGAGTTGACAGCATGATTGAGAGGCACACATATGAGCTTATAAATAGAGGCCTGAAAAGATGATTTGATTTCCATTCTTTGGAATGTTACTGCTATTCAGAGATATTGCAAAGTAATCTCTGGTAAATTGCCTATGATTGAAGCAAATGGTAATTCACTGAATAGAGCCCTCTGGTCCTTACAAGAAAGAAACTCTCTGCAAAAGTTCTGAATAAGGGATGAAGGACTTTTTCTTTTGTTCTAATTCTTGATTTCCTGGTAAAATAGGGACATGTGATAACAAAATCATCCATCTCCAAATATTTCTTGTGTCATTAAGTATCATTCATGTAGCAACAAGGTTTTCCATCCTGGGTAATTTTTTAACGTCTTTTTACATCATGATGTCCCGATATGGCTTCATTCCCCATCTCTTTTGCTCAAGTCATTTTTCATATTTTACCAATTTCCCAGTAGTGTACCTGTCTTGGCAGATGGTGTGGTTTCTTCTTAATACATTTTTCAGATACCTTAATCTTTTTTCTGAACAACTGGAGTTAAAAGGACATTGAACACTGCTGTAAGCTTCAGCATTCATTATAAACTGGTTTTATTTGAAATATGGTCCTTCCCAATGGCATTTATTTGTAGAAGCATTTAGACATCTTGAAACTGGATGAGCTCTACAATTTTTTTTTAAAGTAATACATAGTGGAATGTGGCTTCAGTCCTTCTCCCCCTATTTTTTTCATTGTCTTTCACCACCAAGAGTTCTTACTTTTTTTCCCCCCCAGTCATCTCCTGCATGTAAAGTGCTGCAGGGAATCTAAATAGGCTTCTAATGCTGTTCTGTCTTCATATGACACCATATGAACCAACAACAGATAGAGAAAATGGGAACAAGTAAATTATTGGATTAGTGAAATTATTCTAAATCCCTTTCTACAGTAATTCATCTTTCATTGTAAAACCACATTTAAGTCTCTAAGTATGTGTGATATAAAATATTAATCCTATGTTAACATGTTCTCTGCATTTAAAAAAAATCCAATCAAAGCTACCAAGCAAACCTTGTAACTTATGACTGATTTATTTATATTGTCAGTACTAAAAATGGTGATGAGGCTGACATGGAAGCTATAATGCCATAAGCTATTTGAGTCAAAATAACCAGCCACACCTTCTAAGAGGAACAAGACAACTAAGAAACCTGTAAACAAAACCATCTGCGAAAAACAACACAGGGAGTTAACATCCAAAATGAAGCATGTCTTTCCATGTTTCCTATCATGCTAACACAATGAGAATGAAGCACTACAGATGTTCAAAGCAGAGATCAGGGATTTTTAACTACATCAATCTCTCCACAGTAGTCCCTCCGGCATCATAAAGAGTGCTCTCTGGGTATGGCTCACAGGAACGAGATCAGAACACATAAAAAAAAAAATTTAAAAAAAGGACACAACTGTGGTATAAATACCTAGCAAATATAGAATAAATAGCTTTTGAGTTGGAGAATTTCTGTTATTTCAAGCAGATCTGGAGAGGCACCCAGGAAAATAATTTTGCTTGCATATTGACTGAGTTTATTTTACTTTTTATAAGTCATCAGTGTTCATGAGAGGAAGAGTGCTGGTTTGAATCAGGCATGTTGCAAGCAGATGTTATGCAAGCTTCCCCAGACAGCCCTGCCAATGACTGCAATCCTGAGTTATGACATTCACTGTAACTGTTGCAGCCTGGGCCCTTTTTTGAGCCACTCATCTGTTGGTTTTCCCAAAATGGGGATATTTTTTGTGATGAGTACAAAAACTTGAAGATCAACATTTGTTTCCAGACCAGTAGAATTTGAAAACCATATCTGAGTTTCATGGCCTATCAGTACTACAGCACAGAAATTTTAAAGTACATTATTTGTCATTATATATATGATGTGATACTGTTACTTAACATATGTCTTGGTATTTGGTAAGGGGCAGTCTCTTGTAGTTTCCTTCTATTCCTACTTTTGAAGGCTAAAAAGATGTGATTTCCAAATACCATTCATAAAACCCCTTGTAGATTTTTAATTAAAATACTCCTTTCATCTACAAGTGTATGAAATTACTACGTCCTTTCATAACCTTTAAACAAATAAATTTAGAAACAAAGGATATCAAACCTATCAAAACCAATCTCATGGAGCAGAACTACTCTACTTTTGAAAGACACTGGTGATTCTGGGGCAGGAGATGAAGCACTGTTGCTAACGTAGATTACAAGCTCTAAATAGAGAATGTCAGATGAGACATTACAGTTCCCACTCTGAAATGCACTGTATTTTGGAGTATCTCATAAAACTAAACAATTGCTGCTAGTCACAGTATTTTTTGTTTTTGCTTGGATATTTAAAAAGCTGTTTTTCTTATTATATAGCCTGATGTCATTGTTGCATGTTTTCTAAGTACACATTCTACCATACTTTTACAGACTGTAATCTTGCAGAGGAAGATGTGGGAGTATGCAGGTAAAACAGAATAATAGTTTTTAAAATTTATTGTTCTTTACTAGATTATTATCGCACTTTCCATCTTTAAACAGTAAAAATACTTTGATAAAGCTTGCTTGAACTTAACAGTCAGAAGCACGTGCTCAGTAATTTCATGATACTATTTTTTTTGGTTAAAGAAGTAAGAAGCACTGAAATGACTTGCCCAGCAGTGCCAAACCAGTCAGTGTGAAAATTAAAAGGTTGAGACTTTGTCACCTACAGCTGTATGCTTGTGTTCCTCAGCTGTATTTCCTTCACAAAGCTTTTGGTTTCCAGGCTTATGTGCACGTACTGTCGTAAGTTCTGTACAGGGCAACAAGTGGTGAGAGAATGATTCTTACATCGACAAGAAGGGACTGGGTTCATGAACAGGGTTATAGTTTGTGAGTAATTTGAAAAGCATTTAGGCAGCCGGTGTAGAGTAATGCGTTGTATTCTTCGCCCCTCTGAAGCACCTGCGATAAGGAGGGAGGTGGGGAGCAATGAGCTTTCCAAGGACCGAGCAGGGAACAGGAAACGCAGGTTGAGGCAAAACACGGGGGACGCTGCCGGTGACGGGCGCGATGGGAGAAGGGCGCACTCCCGACAGCCTGGCATCAAGGTGATTTCTTAAAAATGAGGCTCACCAGAGTGTGAAAAGACTTTTCCACAGGGAATTATGGAGATCTCGTCCTCGGCAGATCTGTTCGCCCAAGCTGTCGGTCACCTCCTGTCAAGAGCCTCCCGGGGCGAGCAGAGCAGGCGGCTCCAGCCCCCCAGGCCGGGCGGCGGAGCCCCGCGCCGGCTGCCGGGGCTGCCCTTCTCCCGTCAGCCGCTCCCCCTGCCCTTGACCTCCCCGGCCCTCGGCTCAGCCCTCAGTGGGCGGCGGCGGCGGCGGCGGCTCCCCCGCCCCACGGGGTCACGCCAGGCCAGGCCCAGCCGGCGCTCTCCAGGCCGCGGCAGGGCCGTGAGGCTGCGCGGCGCTCGGTGCCCGCAGCGAAGCCGGGCCCGGGTCAGCTCCCCGGGGACCCGCGGCCGCCGCCGCCTCCCCCGGGCCGGGCCGGGCCGGGCCGGGCCCATAGAGCGCGCGGCGCCGGGATAGAACGGCCGCGCCGGGGCCGCAGCGCCCCCCGGCGGCGACTGGCGGGGGCGGCGCAGAGCGAGCAGAGAAAGGGAGCAGGGACAGTAATGGCGGCCAGTTAGAGCCGGGCTGAGCCCGAGAGGCGGCGGCGACAGCGGCGGGAGGAGCCGGCGCGGCTCCGGTTGCGTCTCTGCCCGGCGGAGCGGCCTCCCCGGAGGGCTTTTCTTCCTTCCTCCCTCCTCCCCCCTTTCCCCCTCTCCCTCCCCTTCCCCTCCCTGCCCGAGCCCCCGCCTGTCCGCCCTCCCTCCCTCCTCCCTCCGCGCCGGCGGCGGCGGCGCCCCCCGTGTCCCCCCTCGCCGGGGCCATGGTGAACACCAGGAAGAGCTCTCTGCGCCCCCTGGGCAAAGCGGCGGCCGCGGCGGCCGGGGCCGGCAGCCATTTCATCTCGTCCCGCACCCGCTCTTCTAAGAGGGGCACCAAGGCAGATGCGGCCGGGCTGGAGGAGGCGGCGGCAGCGCGGGTGAGGACCGGGGACTCCACAGGGGACCGGAGGGAGGGAGGCGGCGAGGCCGGGGAATCGCTGGGGACAGCGCCGCTGGTGCCGCGGCGCGGGGGGGGCTGCGGGCACGGGAGCCGGCGGGGGGCGGCTGCCGAGACGGCTGGCGGCTGTCGGAGGGACCCTGGGGCCGGCGGGCAGCCCGAGCCGAGGAGGCACCGCGGGGCCGGCAGGGACGCGGGGGGCAGCTGCGGAGAGCCGCGGTCCCTCTGGGGCCAGCGGCAGGGCGGCGGGGCCGCTGCCAGGGCGGGGGCGCAGCGGCCGCGGTGCCGGTGCCCGGCGGCGGGCGGGGGTCCGGCGGGGTCCGGCGGCGCGGGGCTCCCCCTGCGGCCGCGCCCGGCGCTGCC